TTTATACATAGAACCCTTCAGTATTTCAACTCAAGGCATAATTTTTTTTCTTCTGTTCTTTTTTATTAAGAAATGTTGAGCGTCTTTGCACATATCACTGTAATACTTGGCTTAGTTCTCTACAGCTGGCCTTTGGCATTTTCTGTTAAGCTCTTTTACTTCTAATTTCTTCTACTTGATTTAGCATTTCTATGATGGAGAGCAAGCGTCAGAGTCTCTTCTGACATTCATTTGGTCTTCTTTGTCTTAATGACCTTTTGCTTTAAAGGAAGACTTTTATTCCCATGTGATGTTCTTGATGTTATCCCACAAGCTTTTTCTGGTCTTTTTCATCATTAGTGTCTAATGCATCTAATCTGTTCTTGATCAAGGTCAAATTTTGGTTCTTGTGTACTTGTTTTAACTTTCTTTAGCTTCAGCCTGGATTTGAAAATGAGTGATTGATGGTGTGTGTTTCACACTCTGCCCCTGGCCTGATTGATGATACTGAGCTTTGCCACTGTCTATTTCCACCGATACAGTCAGTTTGATTTCTGTGTATTCCTTCTGAGGAGGGCCACATATACGGTTGTCTTTTATGTTGTTTTAAAGGTATTTGTAATGAATAAGTATATCTATCATGTTATCTCCAAAATTCAAGATTTGATCATACTATCTCCAGAATAATTTTTATCACCAAGGCCATATTTTCCAACTACTAATCCTTCCTGTTTCCACCCTTTGCATTCTAGTCACCAGTTAATTATCAATACATCTTGATTGCATGTTTGATCAATATCAGCCTGAAGAAGTTGGTAGAATTTCTTTAGTTTCATCATCACTGCTTTAGTGGTTGGTGTGTAAATTTGAATAATAATACTAACTGTTCTTTCTTGTAGCCATAAAGATATTATCCTATCACACCCAGCATAGGTTTTGAAATATTCTTTTTAATGATAACTGTGACACCATTCATTTTCAAGTTGTCACTCCCAGCACAGTAAATCATATGATTGTCAAAATCAAAATGACCAATACCAGTCTATTTCAGCTCACTAATTCCTAAGATATCTATCTTTATGCATTCCATTTCATTTTGTACAGTGTCCAGTTTTCCTAGATTCATACTTCGTACATTCTGTGTTCTGATTGCTAATGGTTGTTTACAGTTGTTTCTTCTCAAAATAGTGAAACTAGACTACTTGAAGTGTCTTACTGTATACGCTTTCTTACATGCTGTTTTTTGTATTTAAATATGCGTATATTTTTCTCATTTATCTAGATTTCTCTCCTCCTCTTATATTTAGTATGTGTGAATTCTTTTTTTTTTAGGTTTCAAACTTAGTTTATTTTTAAAAAACTTTATTGTGAATTGGGTAAAGGCTTACAGAACAGCTCATCCATTTTACATTCAACAGTTCATAGGCAGTTTGTTTCATCTCATTGACTGCAATGCCATGTAACATCACTTACCCCGTTTCCTCACTCCGTTCCTAACTCTTCTGAGCTTGGTCCTTGGGTAAATGCTGCCCTTTTGATCTCAAATGTTTGATTATTCTAAAGTGTGCATACCTCCCTAGTGTAATTAATCCCCTTATAAACCTGTCTGTTAGGCTGAAGATGGAGCCACTGGAGAGCATTTGGTGACTAAGGGTCTGAAGAGTGACTAAGGGCCATACTCTTGGAGGGTCTATCAGTCTCTACCCAATCAGAAAGCCTAGTCTTTTCCTTGATTTTGAGTTTTGTTCCACATGTTTCCCCACTCTATCCAGGACCTTCTGATATCCATTTCAGAGCAGTTGACAGTCATAGCAGGGCACAGTCTAGGGTAATAGAGACTGGTCTGTTGTCGGGGTCTGCCCTCGACATAGTTGTCACGAGTGTTTGGTTCACGAGGAGGGGAGATCCAGCGGCGATAGGGATAGCGAAAGAATACACAGACAAACAGAAGAAGGGAGACAATGAGGCACCCCAAAGCCAGGGTGGATATATCACTGGTGGGCAGGCTTGGG